AACCGATCCATTAAAAAATATAATATTACTCATTTTATTTTGCTTTTAATCCAAAATTATTCCCTCTTCTCCTCATTTCCTCTACATTTTTCTTTTTCTTTCTCTTCTTCCAATCTGAATACAAATACATCCTACGCAGTGGCGAAGTCAAAATTTTTATGAAGATAGTCCAAAAATTAAACAACAAAAACTCTATTTAAAAAGGAGAAACAATTGTTGCAAGTGAGATTTGAACACGTGACTCATTAAAGATGTTTAAACCCACATTCTAGAAATCTTAAACCACTAAACTATAGCAACCTACTATTTCAAGAATGTTCAAAATATGTTATTTAATCACTTCGTTTATCATTTTACTTATATATATTATATTTTTTTCGGACAAAGGGCGTCAATTGAACACTGTGACATACATTTGCCTACGCCGCTGATCCTACGTAACACTATTAGTTAATTCATTAACATGCTTCGTTAAGTAAAAAGTGCATACATATCTCAATTGGTAGGAAGATAGTTCATTTAAAATTAAATTTTATAATAAACAAAGTTCTCTGTTTTGGTTGTAATAATTTATAGTTTTTTGGTTGGGAGAATCATTATCTCCCTAAAGTCTTAGTAATTGGACTTGCTTTTACATGTCTCTTCGGTCCAAGTGTTAGTGAGAATTATTTGTTAAGAAATATGTAATCAAAGGGGCTCCTTGATTTCTAGGCAAATGATATTAAGACTATAGATAGTAAAAAATGTTTGATAGCCTTTTAATATGTGATATCTAGGAGAAGCACCAACAATGGAGATAGAAATATTAAAATGTAGAGGAGAAAGAAAGGAAATAATTTTGGTGGGACATAATATTATATTTTTTAAGGATAATGCACAAGTACCTCTCAATTTATGATCAAAATCTGAGAGACACACTTATACTATACTAAGGTTCTATTACCCCTGAACTTATTTTATTAGTAATTTTCTATCTCTTTTCAGCCTACGTGGCACTATCTTGTGGGCTCAACGCTAGTTGATTTTTTTCCAAGTTAGTATCACATAGGCCGAAAAGGATAGAAAATTACTTATAAAATAAGTTCATGGGGTAATAAGACCTTAGTATAATATATGTGTGTCTTCGAGATTTCGAGTATAGGTTGAGCGGGTACTTATGCATTTTCCCTATTTTTTATAATGGGTCTAGTTAGGTGGATGGATTACCATATGGTTTAAATGATCTTTTTTTATTTAAAGAAATTTGATTTATTATTATAAACAATTAATATCAGTAAATTTAAATTAAAAAATAATTCAATAGATTGAGAGACTTTATGAGAAAAGAGGGAATAATTGATTGACTTTTGAATTAAAATTGAAAGTTGAGTGACATTATGAGAGATTAGTGCATAGTTGAGTAACCTCTGAGGTATTAACTCTTGATTTATATAAAATTATACAAAATAAGAAAGACTTTCAAATCTTGAGCAAGGTTGTAGTGGCAACACGATATTTGCCACTAATCAACTTGATAAAACCAAATACTTTTATATGTCAATCGAACATTTGTCCCTAATAATTGTACATTATTGTGACAATTGAAATGAATTGCAACTGCTAAAGTTATCCTCCAACGAATATTTCTTTTTTTTTCTTTAGAATTATATATATTCATATTTGATGGTATATAAAATGTATCAAAAATGCCATTTAATTTTATGGTGTTAAATATTTTATGTGAAAAATATAACTAAATTTAAGAAATTGTAAAATATATATATATATATATATATATTGAAATTTGCCAGAAAAAAGAGTGCAAAATCTTTTCAAAAAATAAGTAAATGTTATAAAATCAAGCTCATAAGAATATAATCATAAAGAGAAGAAGACAAGAGAAGTAGATAGAAGAAGGGGAATTTCTTCTTATTCAAGTGAATGTAAGTTTCATATGTCTATCTTACAATAGTGAATGAACAACCCTATTTATAGAGTGAAAAATCACTCCAAAAGTCACCATATTAAGTATCATAATAAATAGACATATTCTTATCCAAAAAGGTTCATGAAACCTAGTGAATATGAATGATTGTTCATGTACCAACTTTATGGACTATCCACTCATTCAATGGATTTATAACACTCCCCCATGGATGTCCATAGATAATGTGCCTCATTAAAACCTTACTAGAAAAAACCCTGTGGGAATAAATTCTAGTAAAGGAAAAAGAGTACACATATCTTTTGATACGCTATTTGTTGCCTCATTAAAAACCTTGTCAGGAAAATCAGTGGAAAAAAACATCGGTTAAGGGAAAAAGAGTGCAACGCGTATTATACTCCCCCTGATTAAAACATCACTTAATTTCTTGTGATGATGTCTACAATATTCGTACATTGTGGTTGGTATATTCTTTTTCAAAGAAAAACTACACATTTCTTGAATATGGTGTGTTATTTATCTCAACCAGACGCACTTTCAACTTGTTTCATGGAGGGCTTTTATTTCTGTGTAGCAACATTTGCTTTATTGATTGCCAGGATATTATTGAGCCTCCACATGAAAATAAATAGCGTGTTTGAGATCGTATTTTATGCGGATCAGATAAATATTCTGCATAAACAATCAATTTTGTCTTGGATTCCTCGGAATAGGATAAACCCATAACTATGTTCCTTCGAGGATATTCAATCATGTGCTCAACACCATTTCAATGTCCTTTTATCGGGGAGAAACTGAATCTTGCTAGTAAATTTACTGCAAAACAAGATCAAATATTGTTAGTAAGATGCACTAGTGCCCTGATTGCACCAAGATATATAGTTTCATCACCAAGAAACTCATCATCCTTCTTTTGAGATCAGTGATTTATAATCATTGGGGTATTCAATGAATGCAATTTATCCATATAAAATTGCATCAAAAATTTTCAGTGTATGTGCACTGTTAGACAAATATTTCATTTGTTAAATTATCAATCTGTAGGTCAAGACAAAATTTTGTCTTACCAAGACCTTTTCATAAAAATACAAGGACAACCCATAATGATTTTATCATGAGAAGTAGCATATATCATTTTTTTCTCAAACCTTCCATAGAGGTGAGTTGTGGCATATATCCAACCCATAATGATTTTATCACATATGGACCCATTCTCTTATAGAATAATTGAGCATTCACGATACTCGTCACAAGTCACATTCTCTTCAAGGAATTGACTAATTATTTATATGTACTTCATACATTTGCATTATAAGCACATTGTCATGGCTTTAAAATTCATCATATTTCCATGACACACCTCAACATCACTTTGAAAGATCAAGTGTCACTACTAAAAAAAGGCCAAAAAGAGACCTAGAAAAGAGACCTAAAAAGAGACCTCAACGCTAGGTCAGTAAAATGCAGGTCACTTTTTTACAGACACCTCATGAGATCGCCTAACGGAGACCTCACGAGGTCACCAACAAATAATCTGATTTTTTACAAAAAGGAGACCTCACGAGGTCACTATTGTATTATTTAATTTAATTTTATATTTTTTATATAGAGACCTCATGAGGTCACAATTTTATAATATTATTTAATTTTATATTTTAATTAAGAGACCTCATTAGGTCGCTAAGATATTATTTAATTTAATTTTATATTATTTTAAAGTAGAGACCTCATGAGGTCTCTTTTCTGCATTTATATTTGGAGACCTCACGAGGTCTCCTTTATGATATTTACGAAAAATATAATGCAGAAAAGAGACCTCATGAGGTCTCTTTTCTGCATTTATAAAATGTTAATTAGAGACCTGATGAGGTCTCCATTTTGAAATAGCTGAAAAAATTAATACAAAAGGGAGACCTTATGAGGTCTCTCTTCTGCATTTATAAAATAGAAAATGGTAAATAGAGACCTCATGAGGTCTCTTTTTCTGGAAAAAAACTGGCAGAAAATTATTATTTCTGCGGCTTCTCATCACCTGTCATTTTAATTCAGTACCCAAATCAAACTGAAAGAGCTTCAAAAACTCAATTGAAGCAATACATTTACTAAATATTCTCTTATCAACTCAATTGCAACTCACTTCAACATAATTATATATTAAACAAAAACCATGATATCCATAAGTTATATAATACATTCCAACGTTATCATGTATTCACAAAACAAATAATTCCCATCACAAAATTATAAAGTTAACAAAATGATCCATAAGTTAACTATCACAAGTCTAAACTTCACTAATGTGGTAGTGTGTTTGCCACATAATCATCACTTTCTTCATCACTACTCTCATGGGTCATATTTCTTTGTTGACCATATATTGGATATTGAGTAGGTTGAGATTGAGGAGGTCGAGGAGGGAAAGTGACATCACCAGAACAAGGGGGAATCCCTCCTGAGGCAAGTAATGCATCGAATTGAGCCTTAAGACCCGCAAACTGTAATTCCAACCGCCTTTCCCTAGCCCGTGATTCTTCGGCTTGGCTAGATAGCTCAACAATGTTTTTCTCCATAGCCAAATTTTTCTTCATTGATTCATCATGATTTGAACTATTTAGGCCTTCAAACTCAGAAGAAAATTCACGAAAGGTTTTATGCGGCATTCCATATGCATACCCATATCTACTCGGCCCACAAGTCAAGTCTAACCAAACTCTCTCATCCTGTTCTTGAGTAAGTGGCATACCTCGATTTTCTTCAGGCAGAGTTTGTTGTAAATCCTCCAAAGCTTGAAGATATCAATTCTAAATTGAATATTATCATATGAGAATATAAATTTAGAAAATAAGTAATTATTTTTTAAAATTAGAGGCTTACATAGGTCACTTCAGCTCGCGGTTCAACCCACACGTCTGGATCTTCAGGATTTTTCTTCTTTCTAATGTGTGTTGCCTTAAATGCCTCAGCTTGAGTTATCGGTCTTCCTAGTTCCTTTTCCTACATAAAATAATAAAGTTATAATCAAGAGTAATTAAATATTAATACATAAAATATATAAAACAAAGAAAAATGATACACACCAATTTCCTCCTCACACTTCCTTGACTTTGAGCCCCACTTGTGTGTAGAGAACCACCCTTAGTAGATGATCTTGCCTTTTTACCGATCTCACTCATCTGCTTAAATCTTGGATCATATTTCCAATGCACGAGTAATTTTTCCCAATCCTCCGGTAGAACCCAGCTAGGTTTGCTATTATCTCTACGAGCTTTATTAAACAAACTAGCAAGAGTATGCGTAGCTTTCTTGTGAAAGTTTGCACAAATTTTGGCCTCATGTTCCGAACGCCAAGCACATTTTTTCTACAATCAAAGCATAAATTATTTTATTTGATAAGTATTAATGAAGACAAGTATTTTAATAGTGTTAAACAAATAAATTTGAATATACCCTGAACTCCAAAAATATTTGTCTCTTGAGATTGCTAGGGAACTTGCCCCATGTAGGATAAGCATCTCTATAGAGTTCTTTGATTGTCTGAGAAATGATCCCCACAGCATCATCTGGATTGAAACTGTAATACAAAGTTTTAACATTTACAAGTTAAAACAAATAGAATTAAATCATATAATAATAAACATACCATATTTTTTAAAAAAAACTTATGTGTAGCCTTCAGGCTCAATGACAAGTCTATTATGCATGTCCCTCATGCCAACTTGTGTATTGTCATGACCAGGTGTATCTGACTGATTTGTGGTAGGAGTGTTAGGCTCAGAACTATTACCTTGAATGCGAAGACTCGACATCATAAGTTGTGAAGCAGATGATGATGATGGTTATGAGTCTGCAGGGTTGTGAGTATTAGTGCGAGAGACACTAGACGTTGGTCGATTATCCTCTTAAGGCAAAACACTGTATCCTTGTGGGGTAGCATTCCCTGATGTGGTCATCATCAAAGGTACCTGAGGGGGCGGCTGAGTATATTCCAGTGGTGGATGCATATAGGTCGAAGGAGGAATAATACGTGGAGGCACGGTCCGCCTAGAATAGCTATGTGGCTGAGTGTCTTTTGGTGGGAGAGATGCTGTGTTGTCTGATCTTATATGTATATTTATTTGTTGTCTACTAACCATATCTTCTTTCTTTTTTTTCTTTTTGGGGCCATTATCAATATCTTTATTCTTACATTTACCTGTCATCTAATTAGTAACAAAAACATTCAAGTCAAAGGTTGTTAGATATTGAAGATATGAGAGACAAACATCATCCAGTAGCTTATCTAGCAGTTCATCACTTTTTAAAATAAAATAAAGCCACAACCACAAGTACAAAATAATATCGAAAACAACATCCAACAAAAGGCACACGAGAACATATGAAGTTGAAGTAATTGAAATTTAAAAAAAAGGCACACAAGGATAGATTAATAAATTACTCTTTGTATCATTAATAAATCTATAAAGCAATCAATACAGAGATACATTGGTAATTACTAATCCTCCTCGTCCTCATCCTCATCCTCATCCTCATTCTCATCCTCATCCTCATCCTCGTCCTCGTCCTTGTCCTCATATTCATCTCCATCCTCATCATCATACTCAAACTCATCCTCATGAATTGTTGCATTTGCCCCTTCATTTGTTATTTCTTCCATATCAACCTCTTCTAATATGTGTTCAGGATGCTCTAAATCATTTTCTAATTCAATATCGACGGTCTGGTGAACAATTGATGAATCATCATTTTGGTATGCAACATCCAACACGTTTTCAACTTCCACACGACCCATGAGTTTGGTTTTAATAACCACCCACCAATCAGCTTTATCTGGACGCAAGGGATAAGGAACATAGTACACTTGCTTAACATTTTGTGCAATAATAAAAGGATCATAAGCTTCATATTCCCTTGTGTGCTTTACTTCAATGATATTATATTGTTTGATTTCTCTCGTACCTCTTTTGGGGGTTGGATCAAACCACTTGCATCTAAATAATATAATTTTTTTTGTAGGCCAACCGGAATACTCCATTTCCAAAACCTCCTTGAGTACCCCATAATAATCAACTCCTTCTAGATTTCCATCACCACCTTTTACCCAAACTCCACTATTGTTAGTTTTTTTATATTTGGAGTATTCTTCAGTAGTGAATTTAAAACCATTAACAACATACTTATTCATTGAATAAGTCTTGATGGATCCCCAAGAAATGTCCTTCAAAAATTGGTCAAATTGACCATTTTTTGTGTCATAAATCTATAAATATTTAAAAAGTAAGAAATTAGCATCAATTAAATATAAATTTATTTAATAATAATAGTATTATGAAAATATTATAAGGCTTACGTAATCTTGAAACCACTTTGAGAAATTCTCAAATAATCTTTCATTGCCATATAAATGCACAAAGTAACTGTCAAACAAGATGGATATTGAGTTAATTGTTTTTTCTTGTAATTACATATTTTAGTGAGAACCCAGAAACTTACTCAACAAATGGTTTAACTTGTGGGCAATTCAATAAGACATGTGTAGATGCAGACTGCAACTCAATGGCACTAAGATTCCTCTTTGTGCGTTTTTTTGAACCTTTGCCTGGTTGATTGAAGATTGATAGTGGCTTCATAGTCTCACCACCATCGTCATGGCAATTGGGTCTATTTTGAAAGCATGACACACTTCTTTTAAAGTAATAAGAACCAAAATTAGTTATCTCCCTACCAAGATGGAATTGAACCATTGAGCCTTCAACTCTATGATTTTGTTTCATGCCCCGTTTAGACTTTCCAATAGTCCTACATTATACATTGTTATCATTGATTTAAACAACATATTAATCTAAAAACATTAATAGTTAAATATTTACCTCTCAAAAGGATACATCCATCTATATTGAACCGGACCTCCAAGGCGTGCTTCATGCACTAGATGTACAGGAAGATGCTCCATCACATCGAAAAATTCAGGTGGAAGAATCTTCTCCAATTTATTCGTAATTACAGGAATATTCTGATCCATCTGAACTAGGTTGTCTTCCCTTAACGTATTAGAACACAAGTCCTTGAAGAACAAACTGATTTCAGTCATAGGTTTTCAAATTCTATCAGGCAAGCCACTAAATGCAACGGGGAGTAATGTTTCCATGAAGACATGAAAATCATGTCTTTTCATACAATGTAATTTTCCATGCTCCATATCAACACATTTTCCTAAATTTGAAGCATGTCCAGCAGGCATCTTAAGTTGCTCGACCCATTCACAAATTTTACGCTTTTTATCCCTTGTAAATGAATAACTAGCCTTAGGCTTGAAGAACTTGTTATTCTGTTTCTCTTGCAACCATAACTCTTTTCGCCTGCAATATTCAGGTAAGTCCATTCTAGCTTTAACACTATCTTTTATCTTGCCAGTGACATCCATTACCGTGTTAAATAAATTATCAAAGTAATTTTTTTCAATATGCATGACATCAAGATTATGTCGAAGAAGATTGTCCTTCCAATACGGTAACTCCCAGAATATGCTTTGTTTTGTCCAGTTATGTGCAACACCATATCCATCAAATTTATAGGGTTGTTCTTTTGCGACCTTTGGAAAGTTTTGAACCCTCTCCCAAACTTGTTCTCTAATTAAGATTGGAGGAGGATAACCTTGTTCAACAGAATTCTTTCTGAATGCATTTTTCATACTCCTAAACTCATGATCCATTGGCAAGAACTGTCGATGACAGTCAAACCAAGAATTTTTATGACCATGTTTCAAAGTGAATGATTTAGTATTTTCCATACAATAAGGACAAGCTAACTTTCCTGCTGTCATCCACCCTGACAACATTCCATATGCTGGAAAATCATTAATAGTCCACATTAAGGCAGTCCGCAAATTAAAATTCTGCTTAAGAGACACATCAAATGTTTCAACCCCTTGAACCCACAATTGTTTCAACTCATCAATCAAAGGTTGCAAGTATACATCAATCAATACTTTTGGATTCCGAGGGCCAGGAATGACACAATTGAGAAATATATATGGACTGGTCATACACATCTCGGGTGGAAGATTATATGGTGTTACAAATACAGGCCAACAAGAATATGGTGCAGCAGAAAAAGAATGTGGCGTGAATCCATCTGAACATAAACCCAATCTAATGTTACGTGGTTCAGCTGCAAATAGTGGATATGTTCTATCAAAATGCTTCCAAGCCTCTCCATCGGATGGATGACACATAACTCCAGGTGGTCTTCTATGTTCATGGTGTCATCTCATATGAGGAGCAGATCTATTAGACGCATACAACCTCTTTAACCTTGGTATAAGAGGTAAGTAATGCATTGCCTTAATAGGAACTTTCTTCCCACTAAGATGTCTGTTTATAACGACATTTTCCACAAAACTTACACGATTCTAGATCAATATCATCCTTATAGTATAACATGCAACCATTTTCACAACAATGAATTCTCATCGATGACATTCCTAACTTTGATACCAACCTCTTTGCCTTATAGAAATTATCAGGTATCTCTAGATTTGGGTCAACTAAATCATGAATAAGGTCAATCACAGAGTCCATTTCCCCTTGAGGAACACTCCAATCTGATTTGATACTTAATAATCTAACCGCAATAGACAACTGTGAGTGTGGACTCCCCTCATATAAAGGCCGACTAGCAGATTCCAATTGTTCAAAGAAAATTTTACATTCAACATTAGGAGCTTCTTCACCTTGATTAGCAAAATCAAAATCAGAATGCACACCAAAAGCAACTTGAACCATGTCATCAATTCTATAATTTTGTGCATTAGAATTCACATTGCTACTACTTTCACCAGGAACATAATGTTGGAATACATAAAGTTATTATCAATTTCTCCATGACTAGTCCACACAGTGTATTCTTTTTTAAACCCATTTCGATAAATATGAAGCTCAACGGCATCTGATTTTTCATAATTCAAACATTGACATTTATTACAAGGACACTTAATCATACCACTACGTTGAAAAGGATCTAATGTCTTTGCATACTCCACAAAACCAATGACACCTTCTACAAATTCAGGTCTTAGCCCCATTCGACCAAAATTAGTCATATTATACATCCAACTACGATCCATCTACATAAGAATCATAAATTAAATTTGTCAAGCACTAACACAATAGTTACAAATTTAACTTTATTAACCAACTTAACAAATTTCTAAGTCTAATTAGTCTATTTTTAAATAAATTCTAATACTATAGTAACAAGTTTAACTTATTAACTAACTTAACAAATTTCTAAGTTTAATTAGTTTAGTTTAACTTAATACTAACACGATAGTTACAAACTTAAAGCTAAGTGTCAACACTAGATGGACACAAATTGATTTTCAAAAGAAAATCAATTTTGTCATCAATAGGATCAACTAGTGCTGGTACTTATGCTTAACAAATAATTATATCTAAAATTTAAAGCTAAGTGTCAACACTAGATGGATACAAATTGATTTTCATCAATTTTGTCATCAATAGGATCAACTAGTGTTGGTACTTATGCTTAACAAATAATTATATCTAAAATTTAAAGCTAAGTGTCAACACTAGATGGACACAAATTGATTTTCAAAAGAAAATCAATTTTGTCATCAATAGGATCAACTAGTGTTGGTACTTATGCTTAAACAAATAAAATATGGATTTAGAATTTGAAACTTACGAGATTTTATAACGATCTCAAATTAATATACATTGTAATACAAATAAAAAGTCCTAATTCACGTGAAACCATAAGTAGTTGTACTATGCGAAGATATTTGCATTTTGTGGCAAACTATACCAAAACTTGGACACAAATGGATGCTATCTACTTCAATGAGAAAAAAATTGCAAGAGAATTCATGGGATTTAATATTTCCTTACCATCCAGAGAAGATAATTATTCATTAGATA